TTTCTCATACATGAAACAGAAATACACATCTCTTAAGACCTAGTGAAGATGAGAAATGAGAAATGTAAGTCCCTCATGCACAACTGATGCCTGAAAATAATAACTATTACAAAGCTTATTAATGAGGAAAGCATGCTGTGTGGAAGGAAAAATCCTCCTCCTATATGATTTTCAGGTAAAGTAAAAATTGTCTCATTATCTAGTGATTGAGGCCAGCTCCTTCCACTGCCCTCCAAAGAGGACAGGGCCTGATTCCTTTCACTGTGCATTTAGCTAGGCTCCCCGTCTATAGATAATTATTTTGAGTGAGTCGCTTAACCTCAATGTTTTGATATACAGTGGAATAAGGTTGACCCAGTTGGCAGGAACGTTGAGGCTCGATTATTAAATGATTGAAGTGCACTTTGCAACTACCAAGTGCTATAAATATATATGCTGAAGTAAACTTGTTTAACAAAAGACTTCAGCTGAATTTGCCTCCTGGGAGCCTCAGAGCATTGGGCTGAGTGGCCTGGGCTAAAGAGGAAGCTGCGTCTCGGAAGTAGGAGGTAATAGAGCCATTGCACCCCGTACCTTTGTCTTCTAACCCTATTAGGCTAGGTGGACCCAGGCTTCTGCTGAGGGGGCGAGGCAGGGCTTTAAATGTTTATTATCCTGACAAAGGTAAGATAGAGACCTGGGACAATATTTAAGAGATGAAGACATGGAGAAAAGTACTTCCCTCTTGCCTCAGTTTTATGAATGCGGATTTTAGCACAGGTGTATAAGTGCTCAAAGTCTTTCTGGATATTTGATTGCTTTGCATTGAGATAAACATGACCTATCGTTGACTTGCATAATATATATTTATTGAACATGGTCTACGTGGCCAGATCATTAGATCTGGGCCCTGTTCTTACGCTGCTGAGAAGCAGGCAAAGGGAGGCAATTGAGAAGAAGCAAGCAGAGGAGAAACTGAGAAGGGCTGTGAATGTGATGGAAAGTGTGTTATTGTGGTGGATCATACTGTGTGTGGGGTCACATCAAAGAAGGGAGGGGCTGCCAGAGGAAGCCAGCTCTGCTAATAGATACACAGATGCCAAGGCTCAGAGGCAACCATGGGTGCAGGGTATCATTAAACAAGTGCTCTGGAGCCTGAGGTGAGGGAGGAAAGGAAGAACTGGGAATGTTTCCTTGTTGGGTCTGAGAGATGGAGCTTTCTGGATGGCAGTTGGGCATGTTGATGAGATAGAAGATGTGGGCCTGATGAGGTTGGCCAGGAGGAAGTGTGTTTGAGGATGAATGGATCAAGGATCAATTCCAAGATTGCAGGACTTTAGGTAAGCCACAAAGAGGAATTTTACAGACCAGCCACTAAATAGGAGGCCAGGGGGAACTCAGAGAGGAGAACTCCACTGGGGTTAGGGCACAAGGATCCCAGAAGATGCAGAAGGGCCCAGAATTGGAGTGCTGAGCAGAGTCTGAGAGACCTTTAGGACAAGGGTTTAACAAAGAGGAGTGCAGGGTGAGAGGCTTTAACTGATCTGTATCACTGAGCCTGCCTGAGAGCTGATGGCATGATCTAGGAGGGAGTGGCCTAGGGTGGGATGGGTACTCCATTCCTTCTAGTAGAGAGTCAAGGATGTGAAGAAGCTGACATACTGTTTTCTTTTAATTTTATTTATTTATTTATTTATTTATTTATTTATTTATTGTGTGTGTGGCCAGCTCAGCCCACCAGGAGGTGGGGCTGGCTGGCATGTGGTGCTGGGGGATTGAACCACAGTCCTTGTGCTTTGCTTAGCTTGTTCTAAGTAGGTGCTTTAGACCACTGAGCCATCTCACCAGCCCTGACATACTGTTTTCTTTCTTTTTTTTCTTTTTTTTTTTTTGGTGGAACCGGGGATTGAACTCAGACCCTTGTGCTTGCTAGGGAAGCACTTATTCCACTGAGCCATCTCCCCGGCCCTGACATACTGTTTTCTTGACAGGAATGTCAAAGACTGGAAATGCTTCCTGCATGAAGAGCAAGGGCATCCCACCAGGGTGGGTAGTGCATTGTTCAGGGGCATGGGGAGGGAAATGACTGACATCTGTGTGTTGAGGGCATACATCCAAGAATGCAGGAGGTTTCTGCTTAGAGAAGGCACCTCAGGGGATGTCCCTGGCGTGGGAGTCGGGTGTTCACTTCTTGAGAAAAAGGTTCTAGGACCTCAACAGTGTCCCTGTATTGAGCTTCTTTTCTTTTTTTTTTTTTTTTTTTTCCTGAACCAGGGATTGAACTCAGGCCCTTGTGCTTGCCAGGGAAGCACTTATTCTACTGAGCTATTTCCCCAGCCCCCTGTATTGAGCTTCTCTTAAGGGTATGCTTGGCTTGGGCTTATTCTGTTACAAAGGAAAATGAGAGACTGTATTAGCCAGCTTGGGCTGCTATAACAAGATACAACAGTGGGCGGCAGTAGTGATGGGGCTTGGACTACAAGAATGTATTTTAATGGTTGTGACCCACAGGAGTCCCAAGATTACGTGCCAGCTGGCATTTGCTCCCAGTGAAGGGGATCCTGGCTTGTTTCGTGGCAGTCTTCTTCCTGTTTGCTCACATGACTGTGTGTGTGTGTGTGTGTGTGTGTGTGTGTGTGTGTGTGCATGGAGGGGGTCAGAGGATTGAACCTTGTGGTGTCTATTCTTGAAGGGTCACTGATTCTATTTGAGCAGATGTCACCTCAGAACCTCATTTAACCTGAATTACTACTGGGTAGGCCTTATCTCCTCCAGAGGTGGCGAATCTGTGCTATGTGTGCTGCAGTGGTCTGTTTGCTATCACTGAAAGTGCTAAAGGATTTGTTGTCACCATTCTAGGTAACCCAGTCACATTGGGGGGTGAGGGCTTCAATCTATGAATTTGGTAGTGAGATAGGCTTTTTAGTCCACAGAAAAGATCTGCTGAATGACACAGACATAAGAGAGTTATAGTGAAATCCGACCAAGCAATCAGTCTAAGTAAGAACCCTGGATGTGTTAGTACAAAGCAAGCAACGCATGCTTAGCTAGGGCCTGCAGCCCAGGTAGCCCACAGCTCACAGACCCTGCAGTCCACAGAGCCCACACAGTTGTCCCCCAGCTGCCAAAGTGGAGTTTAACAGAGCAGAACCAGAGTATTTTGATGCCACGGGGCACTGCATGCACTCAGCAACTGATGGCTGGCCTTCAGGAGCCCACTGTGGGAGGCACAGGCTGGTGGGGGCTCTCTTTTTCTCTTTTCTTGGACACCCCTCTATATCTGTGCCTGCAGAACTCTAGAGTGATGTTGCTTATAGTACAGTGGCCATGGGCCCCGTGGAATTGAGTACTAGAAACGTGGCTATTAAATGCTCTACAAGTATCAGATACCCACCAGATACCTTTGTCTGGCCAAATCTCATTAACACTATTATATACTATGTATACAGGGAATATTTGTATTGACTGTGTTAATAAAATGTATTGCTAAAATTGCTTCTGGCTGTTAACTTGTTACTTCTCAAAATGTAGCTACAAGACAAGTTGAATCACAAGCCTGGTTCCTAGTGTACCTCCACAGCGCTGTCTCATAGGATGGACGCCTCTTGGAGCTCCAGCTCAGGAAGTTTAGACCGATCGTGGGTCTCCACTTCCTCCGGAGGGAAGGTCGTGGCTATGATCTGTCGCAGGCCCGCCCTGCTCCATCGCCTGGCTACAGTAGCCCCACCTCAGAGCCATTTCTGGATTGCTACACCCATGCTGTTTTCCCTTCCAGCCCTGGCACTCTGTAGTGTGTGTGCGTTAATTAAACCTCCCCAGTCCTCGACTGCTGCCCCAGGGCCTAGCCGAGAGCAGACCTACAGGGTCATCCCAAGGTGCGGCAAGCCAGCAGCAGCTGGTGCGGAAGCACCCGATTTAGGGCTTGTTTCTTAAATGGACGTTTCCCTTTACAGTGCTCTTGGCGCAACAGCTTTTTATTTCTTGTAAGTAAAGTCATGCATCAGGAACTGGGTGGACGTGTTAGGAAGTTGCAAAATCACACACACTTGGTCTGCCGGGAGGGACTGCGGGTGCAGAAACCTGGTCACTGGAGACGCAGTCTCTGCACATTGGACTCAGGTCTGCAGAGGTTCCTTCTTCCTTCTCGCTGTCTTGGTCCCATTCCCTCAGAGATCCTGACTGCGACTGGAGAACAGGGCCGCAACAGGCAGAGGGGCCGGGCAGAAGGGTCCCGGAGTCCCAGGGCGGTCAGGGTGCAAGAGGAATCCTCAGGGTATCGGCGACCAGAGCGCGCGGTCCCTTTAAAAGGTTCGGTCGGAGCTGGGCAGTGACGTATTAGAGGTGCGGAGGGAGGAGTCTGCGCGCTTCTCCAGCGTGGGGGGCGGGGCAGGGCGGAGCGCGAGGAGGCTCGGCCGGCCTGACTGGCGCGGAGCCGAGGGGCCGCTACCGGTCCTCTCCTCACAGGCCCCGCCCCCTCCCGCCCCCAACCGACCCGCCCAGCTCGCAGGCCTCCTCGGGCCCCGCCCCCTCCCCAGGCCCCACCCCCGCTCAAGCCTTACGCCTCCTGAGGCACGGCTGCAGCTCCTGGTCCCGCAGAGCCCACAGACCCAGCTCTAGAGAGCAAGCTCACAGCTCACTCTAGGCTCCGCCCTACCCCGTATGACCCCTCCCATCTCTGCCCCGCGCAGGCCTCGCCCCGCCCCGCGCAAGCCCCGCCCCGCTCCGCGCAGGCTCCGCCCCCAGGGGCGGGACTCGATTGAGCCGGAGTCGGCCGTGGCGGCTGCGGGAACTTTCCCGGCGGGTCTAATGGCTGCGCGCGGGCCCCTGTGAGACGCGGCGGCGAGCGGGCGCGGGGCCGCGGAGCAGCGAGGACCGACGAGCGCAAGGCCGGAGTCCCGGCCAGGCCCGGCCCGAC